TCCCGCCCTTTTCAAGCCTTTCTTTCGCAATTTTCTTCCTGGAAGGGCCTTGTTCATGATCACTATCTATCGTGGAGTAAGCGTAGATAGTTTCTAAAGCCGCAGTAAGAAATATAGCCATGGAAAATAGCCGAAATGTTCACACGTTTGAGATGCGAGGGGAGGCGACACCGGTCACAACAGTGGAGCGAAAACAAAGGGCCGACGGCGTGTGCCGAGCCGCCTGCGGGCCACGAGGCGCAAAAAAGAAAATGGGAAGACATCGGCGTGCATTTTAAAACCAGTCCCAAAAAAATCAGATAAAAACCTGATTTTTGGCGATTATTTAAAGTGGATGACGCAATGCTGCGTCATGCCCGTCATTACCGACAGTAAACGGATGACGCAATGCTGCGTCATGCCTGGGCGAAAGTGTTAATTATCCTGCGGACGACCTGGCAGACCCGCACCCTCGAACAGGGAAGAAGGAAAACCGGATAAACCCAAAGCGCGTCCACGGATACAGAAGTTGTGGCGCGCAAATAATGGCAGAGAGCCGCAACCAGACACAAAACATGATGCACCTCAGGCCTAACCAACCAAGCATCATCCACCCAGGGACCCCTTCGGAAAGCAGCAGTCTCATTCTTCGCCAGAAAAGAAGGAGAAGGCTGCAGACGAACAAAACGATTACCCCGACCGAAAGAGCAGAAACCTCTGCGCCGGAGTAGAGCACGAAGGTTGCCAACCCGACCCCCAGAGGCCAATGCCAACAGGAAAAGAGCCTTCAAAAAACAATCCGGAACCGAAGGGGCCACAACAAAACGAGGAGAAAAAAGAAAAGAGAGCACCCTGTCCAACGACCAGGACGGCTCAGGCGGCGCATGAGCAGGCCAGAGGTGAAACAATGCCCAAGACAGCTTGCTAAATGGCGCAGACGTGACATCAGTACCGAAAGCAAGCTGCAGCAGCTCCACAAGTGCCGCACGATACGAGGCGACAGTGTTAGGCAATTTTTGACCAAGAACCCGAACCCAGTGAGCTGAGAAGGAACCAGTTCCCTGGCCAGCAGACAAGCGAACTGGCTGGGAGCCCAAACCAGCCAGCCGTCAAGGTAGGCCAACACCCAAACACCTAACAGACACAGACGGGTCACCACGACCCGCGTGAGGCGTGTGAAGATGCGAGGTGCCAGGTTCAAACTGAACGGAAGACAACAAAAGCGGTAAGCACAAAGCCCCACAACAAAACTGAGCCAGTCCCTGAATCCCGAATGAATCGGGACGCGCCAATAAGCGTCCCGGAGGTCCAGGGACACCATCCAAGCGCCCGACTCCAACAGAAGCCAAACCTGAGACAGCGTATTCATCCAAAAGGAGGGGCAATGAACCCAGGGGTTCAGACGGGACAAGTCCAGAATGAACCGCAGGGCGGCACAGTCCCATTTCAGGACTGGAAACAGACGGGAAACCCATCTGAGGGATGGAGTCGTTTCGACCACGTCCAAGCGAACCCACTACAGGACGAACTGGCAGAGCGCAGAGGAAGAAGCCTGCCCCGCCAGCCCCGAACCCCCCGCAGGAGGAGGGGCTACCCAACGCCACCGGAGGCCGTGCGAAACAACCCGAAACGCCCACAAATCGTGGGACCAGGCGTGAGCGAACAGCGCAAGCTTTCCCCCCCATCTCCCCGTCAATGGGGTAAACTGCGAGAGGGCCGGCGCCCCTTACGAGATCCAAAACCTCGCACAGAGCAAACACCGCGCCGACCAGACGGAGGCGGGTCCAAAGGAGGAATCGAACCCGAACCTGACACCAGTGGCCTACCACGACGAGAGGAACCCCGAGCCTTGGGACGACCCTTCCGGGAAGGTCCACCACGGGACCCCCAGAGAACCAGCAAGTCTGACACAGGACGGCAAGAAGCCGAAACAGCCTGAACATACTGCGTAACGGCAGAAACCTCAAACAAGAGAGGACAAAAGGGAGAAGACGTCCTAAGAGCCAAGGCCCAAGCGAATTCCATAGAGGAGGCAAGCACCATCTGCTGACACGCGAGCCGGGAAGCATAAAACTGAGCAACCGCATCCTGCAAGATCGGTGCGAAAAGTTTCAGCAAGGCAGCCGACGAGCGAGCCGCCGAGGTTAAGGCACCAGACCCAGGAACAGCCCCAAGCACCCCCACATCTGCCGTGAGCCAGTCCGAGGACAACTCCAGGAGGGAAAAGAAGCGCAAGGCCGCAACCAAAAGGCCCCGAGCGCACAAGTCCTCCGCCACCTGCACTGCCGAATGGAGGAGGACCTGCACATGGAGCTGAATGACACCAACATCCCGGGGAAGGGCAGGAGCAAACAAGCACTCATTGAGGTGCTCAAGATCACCCCCCCCAGGGAAAACATGAAGTACCGTAGAAGCCTCCCTCCACTCAAACATGCAGGAATGGCAGGAGTGCCAAGCCTCCAAAGCAAAGACAGGACAGTCCACCAGCCAGGAAGACTCCGGAACCTCGTAACGGAGCCAGAAAGCGAACAAAATCCCAAACCTGAAAGCCGAGGGATCCATTGCTGAGGCATAATCCTGGTCACACAGGAGGTTTGCTGCAAGGGCCGCCCGCACCGCAGCAGGTTGGATGCGATAAGCCGAAAACCTCCGGAAAGACGGAACCGAAGCACCCGGGGGAACACGGAACCGAACCAGGGGAGGGACAGACACCAAGTCCAACTCGTACGCAGAGAGGGAAAAAGAAAAGCCCCACTCCTTGTAACAGTAAGCTCCGCTCAGAGGGCAGAAAAACCCAGGCGGGGTCCAGCGGAGCCCAAGGCCCCCAAGCCAGCCCCTCCCCAGCCCCAGGGTCCTCCTCCGCAGGACCCGGGGCCGAGTCCTCCCCAAAGCACCGACCCCACCAGACAAGGCTGGCGCAGCCATAGAAGCTGGATAGAATGAGGCCCACTGGTCAGACCCTGAGGCTTCGGCCGGGGGAGGAGACTCGAATGCCTCTGTCGCCACACCGGAAGGGGCATCCCCCGATGCTGCCCGAGTCTCAAAACCAACTAACCCCAGCTCCAGCTCCGAAACCCTTAGACGTTTCGGGGCCAGAAGCAGGGGAGGGGGACCAGAACGAACAACAGAAGGGGAAGCACTAGGAGGTGCGGACTGAACCAGGTTCGAGGCGACCCCCACCCCCAAGTCCGGGTCCCTATAAGCAAAATGGGGAAGCCGCGGGGCATCAGAGTGAGCAACTAACCTAGCGTGTTGCAACAAACGAAACCTAGAATGCAACGCCTGCGCAGCCTATACCCGAAGATGATCATCCACAGATTGGGTAAATTGAGTCACCAGCAAGCAGCAGTACTCACAGGACTCGGGGTCAAAAGTGTCACCGACCCAACAGGCTGCATGATGGAGGCAAAAACAGTGAGGGTCGCCCTGAGACAAGGGAACCGAACAACCCTCAAACTTGCACGAAGCAAGGGTGGACCCTGGGGTCACATCCATTGGACCCATGCGTCCCTAGGGGATTCCCAGGGTCCTGAGCGTTTACTGTAAGAGGACTCGCACCCAGGTAAACCCAGGCAGGGTACTGCTAACCGGCACCCAAAAACTACCAACCAAACAGACTATAGCTGAACCTCAGGAACGTGTACACTCATGGGAACCAAGCAGAGGGCACCACTAAGTATCAGGGTGAGGCCAAACACCAGTGGCAAGTAGGAAAGAACCCCCCACCTAGGCAAGAACAAAAAGAAAAACAAAACCCCTGCAAGAGGACAACGTACCCCAAGGAACAGAGCCGGCTGCTGTGATAGGTGACAACTAGCTGCGCTGCACCCTGCACCCCAACCAGTGCAAAAACTGCCTCTTACCCTAAGGTAAACGAGGGAGACAAAACACCCAAGTACCCAAAGGGCGGCCGAAAAACCGAGCAGTAAAACGGACACACAGAGGCAGACCCCGAGGAACTTGTGGAAGGTAACTCTAAGCTCCAAGGGCAGTACTTACAAGGCACCTAGGGTCGTCAGCGTGGTGGGTCTGGAGCTACCCCTTCCCCCTCCCAGGGAGGGGGCGAACTGCACAGACAGCAGTGCAATGACGGGTGACGTCACACTAGTTTGCTCGTTTTCGTTTGGGGAGTTCTATCCTCTCGTTCGGTCTTTGGTTGCAATTTTCACCAGAATAGGGGTTTGTTTTGGGACGTCTAGCTTTCTGGGTGCCTAACCCGGTCGATGGCAGACATAGAATGCTTCCAATCACACGGGGGGTTCTACAGGCCATTACTCCCCTTGTCTCTCTAGAGGGGGCCAGGTTCTGGTTCGTGAATCCCGGTAGGCCCACAAGAACTCCATACACATGACTGATGCCAAAGTCTGACATTAGCATATCAGCCTAGTAAGCTCATGGGAGCCGTAGGGGCTCCCCCCAGAAACTCACCCAGATAAAGCTGTAGCAGGCTGTTGCATTGACTTTTTAAATGACAATGTGATGTCTTACTACAGACAAGTGTTAAAATGTAAGGAAAAATAAGTGTCTTTAGACAGATTCTTAGTAAGACAAGCACGCAGTGAGCCACAAGCAGGTCCTAGTGGTATGCAGGCAAAACGTGCCAGAGAGTGTATCCCAGAGAAGTCCTCACTGCCTGATGTTATAATGGATGGGGACTCCCCTTCCAAACAGTAACACCTTTCCTCCTCCCACCTCCTCACCACCTTCCATACACCAACAGCAGTCATCAGCAAGGGTAAGTAATAACTTGAACACAGTTTTGTAGTGTAGATTTGATGAATTAGGTATAAAATTTAGTTTGAAGTGAGGTTTTTAGGTAGTCAGGAACGGATTAATTCATTTCCCATTATGGGGAAATTAGCTTCGGGTTATGAGCTGTCTCCAGGAACGGATTAAACTCTTAAACCGAAGTACCCCTGTATTAAGAAAATCAAATCAGGTGAAGATAGCTTAACTATTTGACACAAACAGCACCTTTCAATAATCATACCAAAGACATGAATAATCCCTGGACACATTACCTGATCATCATCTTGATCTAACTGAAATGGTCCAATGCCTGACCATAGAAGTGTTCTTCTTGTAATTTCGTCTTGATATAAAGCATGCCGTTCACAAGACTTCTCTCCATTGAATATTTTCCACAAATGATCCATGCATGATGCAGACTGCATAAATTTTAACAATTTTTCATTTTCCCGCCTTCTTGCTTTAATGGCACTTTGCATTTTTTTCCTATCTCTTGAAGAAAGTATCTGAAAAAGAAAAAAGCATTGAATGTAATGAAACACCTCTTCTGGTAGAGCTCGGTGGCTCCCTGAAGTTGACATGGCTTCCTTCTACTGAGTCATATCAGCCACAAATCCTGTTTGACCTACCAAGCACCAAAACCACAACCACAGTGGTTATTACAATCACCCACACTAAGAAAACAACCTGAAAGGAAGCAAAGCAATATAAACTGCAGGGTTCACATAAAACAAAGCACAGAAACAGCCAGGCAACTCTACAAATACAAATGATTCACTTAAAACTAGCTCGAACCTTGTAGAGCAAATGGTTGTCAACCTGTGGCACCCTGGGAGTTCCAGGTTCGTGCCCCAGCCATGAGTCAGTGCAGAGCTCACTCATGGAACTGACACACCTGGTAGGGAGGAAATCAGGGAGCCACTGAGGCTCTATCAGAAAGAGGCATTTTATTTAATTCATTGCTGGTTTTCTATTAGACCCTCTGGTGGTTTCATGATGCTATCTAAAAGAGAAGACAGAAATCATCAGACTTACCAGAGATGAGGAGAATAGCAATTATATGAGCATCCAGGACACAGAATGACCTCCCAAACCCCCCAGGCCCAAAAAAGCAGCCCATACCAAGTTAATGAATACAGCAGCCAAAGCCTTGAACTTGCAATTATCATGCCCAAGTGTCAGCCACAAGCTGGATAGATGTAATGACACTGCAAACAATTTGGGACAACCGTGCCTTGGAATGAGGAACCAAGGAAAATGGGTCAATAAACAGGGTGTACACTAAAGCAGAGTGGGTGGTGCACAAGTAGTAACAAATTACCATGATGGAACAACAAATAATGCACCCCCAGCTGGACAAACCAAACATCAATCTCAAAGGGACCCTCTCTAGAAACCAACTGTCTCATTCCTTTAGAAAAAGAAGGGGAAGGCTGCAAACAAAGAAACCATCCTCCAGGGCTAAAAGAACAAAACTCACAGCTCTAAATGTGAGCATGAAGCTTTTCATTCCAACAATCTGAGGCTAGGGGCCAAATAAAGAGTGGCTTAAATAAGATATCCCAGACCAATGGGGCAATCGTGAACTGAGGAGAGGAAAGAAATACTAACACCCTATTGAGAGACCAAGACGGTTCAGGACATGAATGAACCAAAAGAAAATTAAAGACAGCATGAGGCAAGTTGTGAAATAAGACTGCAGAAATATCAATGAGAAAATCAGCATGAACCATGACAAGGATTCGAACCTATGCCTTGGGTACTCCCAGCCAATTTTCTCATTCATTTTCTAATTGATACATCACATTATTGTGATTTCTCTGTCCAATGAAATATCAATGTCGAAGGCCAACAAAATTGGCTCCGCCAAGGAAGAATGATAAGAGGCAACAGTATTAGGTTTAAGATGCCAATCAAGAAACAATCAGAACAAAGGACATTGTCATTGCAATAAAAAACACACGTGGGACAACAATAATTCAGCCGTCTGTGCACCATACTAATGGTGATAAAACTGCATCAGAAACTACAGACAAGTAGATCGGTGAAGAAGGTTAAACTGGCAAGGCACATTACTGAGCTGATCTGCTGAAAGAGGTGGAGCCACGGGAAAATGTCCAGGTTCGGAAACCATGTTAGAAGAGCCTGGTCCGGAACCTATTCATCCGGAACCTAGGATAAATAAGAATGTTCAAGTATGGAATTTTGAGGTCCAGAAACCTGCCTGCAATATCACACACACCAATCTGTTCGGTCAAGGTCTAGAATGTACCGTAAGTCTGCCAAGTCCCGTTTGGGAACTGGGAACAACCTGAACACCCACTGACGAGATGAGGTTAACCTGGCCACCCCTAACATTGTGAGTCTAAACATCACAAAGACTGCATGGTGCTGAGGGAAAGAACAATACCACTTAAGGCCATGGAAGATGACCTGGTATGCCCATAAATCATGGAACCAAGAGCTGGAAAATGGACCAGACACCCCCTCCTTCCTTACAGCACCATGAAAGGGGCAAATTGCAAAAAGGTCAGCATAAATACTCATGGCCGGAGCCATCCTTTCACAATGACAAGTAGAAGAGGTAACAGCTAAAGGATGTACAAGGGCTCGAGAAGCCAGCTCTGACAAAGTTCTACCCCAACTGTCAGCAGTCAGGGGCCCCTACCCCTGACCTCCAAGCATAAGGGAACAGAAATTCCTTTATGATCCTGCAAACAAAACCTAAGAGGCCAGAAAGCCACTGAAGTCACCAAAATAACCTATGACACAGCATCCTCAGGAAAAAGGAGAGGCAGACAAAAATGGTTAAGGATGAGGCTGAATCGAAAGACTGGGCCAGCAAAGCCTGTCGACACATGAGACAGACCAAGTATAACCGTCACCACCTCCTGAAAGTGGGAGTGAGCAACTTGGGGAGGGCACTGCCTAAGAACACCTAAAGAATGGAAATCACTTCCCACCATTCAAGGTTGTCAGCCAACCAGGATGAACCAGAAACCTCGTATCAAAGCCAATAGGTAACAGCTGACTCAAACTCAAAAGATGCCAGATCCATCTGAATTCTACAGAAGGAACTGAAAGAGGTCCACCCACTACACAAGACAAAAGGTATGATAATGGAAACCTCTGGAAATAAGACTTTCAACATGGAACCAAATGGTGGTGGCCATTTGTATTATGGAGGTTCCAGCCAGTTTTGAGTGAATAATTTGTTTGAATAAATCATTTGTAGAGTCATTTGGTTCTTTGTTTTCATGTACATTGCAGTTGGTCTGTATTGCTTTGCTGACTTTCTGGATGATCTCCTGGTGAGGCAGACTGTAATAATCTGCAGCACTTTGCACCTCTATGAGGGTGCAAAGAGCTGGGAAGCCAGGATCTGGCTCTGGTCCCTGTTAGACCAAACCCTCTTATGCGACTCAGTAGTGGGAAGCCATCACAGTGAGCTAGCTCAGCCATCTTCAGGGAACTACCAATGGGCTACCTTAGAAAAAAAAAATTAGAGTTGAAACATTTCTTTCTAAAAACCAGCACTGAATGTAATGAAACACCATTTTCTGGGTGAGCACCGGAGGCTCCTTGGAGCTATTGGGCTAATATGTGATATATTAGACTGGGGCATTAGTCTATTGAGTTCAACCTACCTGAGACCACTAGCTAGAACCTGGCCTCCCTCCTCAGAGAGGTTTCAGGGAACATTGGCTCTGGAAAAACTCCTTGTGGTTGGGGTTTTCCTCATCTGCAATCGAATGGAGATAGGCACCCAGGAGCAGGAATGTTAACCAAATAACAGGCAGCCAGGACTCTGTTTGACCTCCAAAATCCCAGAGCCCGAATATCAACCCAGGACATATTGCCAACGCACGAAACTTCCTATCATGGGGCATGAGGATAGACCGCAGGCTGACCAGACTTAATAATCCTGCAGACGACCTGAGAGACCCAAGCACTGGAACAGGGAACGAGAGGAACTGGATCAACCCAAAGCCCATCCCCAGCCGCAAAAGCACGCAGATAACGGCGAAGAGCCACATATGGACACGACACACGACCAACCAAGCATCAATGACCCCAAGGACCCCTCCGGAAAGCAGCCGCCTAGGTCTTCACCAGAAAAGAAGGCAGAAACTGAACAAACTGACCACCAGAACCAAAAGAGCCGAAACGCCTGCACTGGAGGAGAGGAGCTCACCGACCCGACCCCCAGAGGCCAATACTACCAACAGAAACAGAGCCTTGGAAAAACAATCTTGAACCGAAGGGGGCCTCCACAAACCGAGGAGAGGAAAGATAGGAAAGCACCCTGTCCAAGGACAAGGACGGCTCAGGAGGTGCATGAGCAGGCCGGAGATGAAACAAAGCATGAGAAAGCTTACAGAATGGAGCAGAAGTGACATCCAACGCGAACGCAAGCTGGAGCAGCTCTGCCAGCGCCACATAATACGAGGTGACAGTATTAGGCATCAAATGACGGTCCTGAAAAAGCCAAGATAGAGAGGACAAGACAAACTGATCAGAACTTGAAGACAACCTACGAATAGAGAGAAAATAGGTGAGAAGACCGCAAGGAAAACTCATACTGTCGACGAGACAAAGCTCTCAGGCGGGACACCATCAACGAAGCCACCTGATCACCATACAAATGGTGTTAAACCCGCGTCAAAAAACCAGCGTTGAATGTAATGAAATGCCATTTTCTGGGTGAGCCCCGGAGGCTCCCTGGAGCTTATCGGGCTAATGTATGTTATATTAGACCGGGACATTAGCTAAGGAGTTCAGACCTACCAGGGACCAGCGCCAGAACCTGGCCCCTTCAGAGAGGATTCAGGGAGCAATGGCCCTGGAAAACCCCCTTGTGGTTGGGGTTTTCCTTATCTGCCATCGACCGGGGTTAGCACTCAGAAAGGTAGGCATAAAACAAACCCCACATGGTAAAAAACTAAAACAAAAAAACGAACAGAGAGGTGGAAACTCCCTACAATCCCAAGGAAACAAGCAAACATCACACTTTACTGCCGCGCCGATCGTCCGTGCAGCCCTCCCTGCCCCGAGAGGGTGAGGGGGATGTCCCGGACCTACCGCACTGGCTGCCTAGCATCATTTTGGAACCTAAGCTTCAGCCAACGTGAAAAAACCGCTGACTGGTGGGAGGGAGGGTTGCCAGGGAGCCTCCGGGGCTCACCCAGAAAATGGAGTTTCATTACATTAAACGCTGGTTTTCTGTGGGGAGCCCCTACGGCTCCCTGGAACTTCATACCCAAAGAGATGGAAAAGAAAGGACTGACCCAGGAGGCAGCGGCCACAAACTCTGCAACGTGAAGCCGAGACAACAGGCTGCAACCTGCGACCCAAGGCAACAAGAACGCACAGGAGCAGACGCACATAAAGAATGGGCGGCCAAGAATCTGTGCGACCCTCAAATTCCTGTGCCCGAAATGAGCCCTAGACGTCACCAACACATCAGCAAAAGCTGCAAACGTCCAAACAGCATGGGCGCAAGGAC